CTTTTGAATATATTAATACTGTGCAAATTGTGAAACTTCCGAAACTTCATCCAACAATCCTCACATTTCTCATGTTCTGATAATAGAACTTGCTGTATTATTGTTAATAACAAGAAGATCGACAACAGAAACAAGAAATTTACCCTGAAAGATAATTTCTTTTATTTGCGACAAGTATTGTGTAACAAAACAACTTATTGGAGTTGGAAAAAGTAGTAAGGTATAATAAATTAAGAAAATAATTGGCATATTTTTTTGTTCAACACATTTTTTTACTTGTCCTCTTCAATTATTAATATAAAATATAAGTACAACTAATTTAATTAATTTGGTTAAATATCTTTTTTGGTCTCTCTACTATAAAAAAAGTCCTTTTTTAGTCTTTATACTAAAAAAATCTTCTTTTTGGTCCTTAAAATTTAAAATTTGATCCTTTTTTAGTCCGTCAGTTAAATTTTGGTTGATGTATCAAGTTAATGAACGGAAAAATTTATTTATTTTTTTATTTAAATTACGTGGAAAATCCATTTTACAAAAGTTGATGACATGGCTAACTTTTTACCTTTAATTACTTATTTACCCCCCATCTTCTTCCCCATCTTCTACTTCATTCTGCCATTCTTTTTTTACCTCCAGGTGAACCCAAGAGCCAGATTCATCATGAACCTAGGTGCCTGGGTTCGTCATGAACCCACGAGCTCCTTCCATACTTACCCTTGTTTAGGAGGTAAGCACAAAAAAATGTTAGTTGGTAAGATTGGAGTGATTTGGTTGGATGATTCTGTGGTCAATTGAATACCATGACTTGGGTTAATTAATTGTTTCTAATAGTCTCTTCTTGGAAAGAAGTTGAATAGGTTTTGTTGGCTCATGAGATACAATCAATAGCTTAAAGAAGAAACAAACACACATAATATATACAATCAATTGTGAACACCATTCTCATCCTTTTCAGGAACATGAGAGGCTTCCCTTCCTACTTTAACAACCTATCCCACCATTTCTTTTCTGCTTTCTTTACAACACACAGCTTAAAGAAGAAACACACACACATAATATATACAATCAATGGTGAATACCATTCTCATTCTCTTCAGGAACACAAGAGGCTTCCCTTCCTACTTCAACAACTTGTCCCACCATTTCTTTTCTCTTTACAACATACACAATAAACCCATATCTCAAACCTAAGAGCTTGGGTTCATCACAAACCCAAGAACCGATGACAAACCCAAGAGCCTGGGTTTACGATGAACCCAAGCACCTGCGTTCATCGCGAACCTAGGAACCCACGACAAACCTTGGAGCTTGGGTTCGTGATGAACCCAAGCACTTGGGTTCGTCACAAACCTAGAAACCCACAACGAACCCAGCTGCTGGGTTCACCTAGAGGTAAAAGAAAAAAAAAAAACAGAGAAAGGAAAGGATGGGGAAGAAGATGGGGGGTAAATAAGTAATTAAAGGTAAAAATAGCTAGCCTTGTCATCAACTTTTGTGAAATGGATTTTTAATGTAATTTAAGTAAAAATAAATAAATAAAATTTTTCGTTAATTAACCTATAACATTAGTCAAAATTTAACAAATGGATTAAAAATGGGTCGAATTTTAAACTTTAAGGATAAAAAATGAGATTTTTTCAGTATAAGGATTAAAAAGGGATTTTTTTTCTATAGTAGAGGGACCAAAAGGGTATTTAACCAATTAGTTTTTATTTTTTGTATACATGATTATATCTTTAATTTCGTATGTCTTTAATTTCAAATTAAAAATAATAAATTTTTAATAATATACTATACAATATATTACATCGAATGGTATAACAATCAATGTTCGATAAATTATGCTTCATAAATTTTTTTGAACCATGTTGCAAAGGAAAATTTTAAAAGGGGGGATATTCATTGTTTTTATATTTCAGACTCTAATTTTTTAGTACAAGTCCAACTCAGTTTCTCCACTCTTCATCAAATTCTAAAAGTTCTTTTTCATTCTAATCCATGGACTCCATTTCTGGTTCATGCAGAAAGGCCCCAGCTTTATGTGCAAATAGTAAAAATTCTCTGCAAAGTGTGGGATCGCTCACTCGGACACCCATTAGTGTAGGTGAGTTCGAATTTTTTTCAAGTTTCACCTTTTGGTTTGTGGGAGGATATTATTGTTTTTATCGAGATTCTTTGCTTATTGTTATGTTGAGTTGGATCCAAATATCTATAGCAGGCAGTTGGTGTGAATTTGGCGGATGGAGTGAAATCCAAAGCAAAAATATCTAAGTTCGTCTCCATGATGAAACTCAGTTAATCACCGAGAGGCCTATAGATAGTCCTTAAGTTTTGTTGCTCAAATTGGGTAAGAATGAGCAGCTATTCTTAATCCAAAACTCTCCATATACCTTGCAACTATATTTACGAATACTTTCGAATTTTCTCAATCAAGTTCTTGATTGATCTTTTCGATTCATGAGAAAAAAATGGTTCTTCACTAATCCATCCAAGACTAGCGCTACTGGTAGTCTTTATGACAACTATGGACACAAAGTGAAAAAATTACTATATCTGTCACACAACATCTGGCCTTTTTTCATTTTTTTGATTGGCCAAGAAAATAGTATTATTTTAATCAAATAGCAGATTTCTTCTGCATCCTATAGCTTTTCAAGCAACTTTTAAATTGAACAATGGCTGTCACACACTCCGCAGAACTCGATGCCCAATCTGGCTACAAAAAAACATAGCTTGACTCTTTAATTTTAATCTATAAAAATGATTTTACCTGTATAGAATCCAGCAGTAAGTCTCAAGAAATCCAGTCACAACCAAAAATATTAATGCACCAACATCCGGCACACGTCCCCCACCCGTGCCTTTCAACACAAATTCGGCCACTACCCCCAAAATATTGTTTAAAAACACTCCCTTCAAGCCCCACCGCCGTTTTACCTTAATCCAAATTAACCAAGCCTCCCTACATTCACAAAATAAATGACTAAGCCTCTCCACTGCATCATTACATAATCCACAACCAGCATCCTGACCTTGTAGAAACAATCCCCCTTTTACAAAGATTCTTTGTAAAAGTAAGGAGGTGTTTGGCCGGAAGATTAAGATTCCTCTCACATTGTTAGAAGTTATATTGAACTACCAGCACTTGGTATATTTGTACACGTGAGTATACCTGTTATTCTTTGTATTGCATTAATAATAATAAGTTGATTTGGCCGTTCAAAGAATAAAAACAAAAAAAAAACAGCATCAGGCAACAATGTGAGAAATTCATGTTATTTTCTCTTTTCTGTGGACATATACACATCCAAGAACTACGTGCTTTGATTTGTTTTCTTTTTCGCATCCAGTTAGAAGTGATTGGGGGTAAAATCCCAACACAGTTTTTAAGGTTTAAATTCAAGTTTCCCTGAGTCCTTGAGACCCTTAAGGAGGTGTTACATACATGACACAACCATATTTTGTGCTTATTTTCCCAAAAATATGAAAATATTTTCCAATGCGAGGTAGGGAAATTACTGTTTTACCGCCAATTTTCTCACATTTTCGGTTTTTATTTTAACGTATTAATTAAACATTTAATCATATTATTGTAAATTTATTTATTTATTCTAAAATGAAGGATCAGACAAATCCATGTCTCAGCTTCAGACAAATCTTTCTCTCTCTCTCTACCCTTAACGTGATCAAGCACCAATTTTCCTTCTACCATTCCTTGAAATCCCAGAGATTTCTAGGGTTTCCATTTTCAATTCCTTGCTGATGACACGGTAATCGGACGATTCACATGTTCTATTTCTGTTGATTGAGTCAGCGTTCCTGCTTCAGATTTCACTCCTCCAAGTATGTGAAGTAAGTTTCTGTTTCCTGCAGCTAATTTTCACTAATTTTAGTAACTCATTGTTGGTTAGGTAATTCCGGTGGTCGTTACTGGTTTCCATATTTTGCATTCTATTCGTAGATCTGTTTAAAGGTTGCGTTTTTGGGCAATTCGGGATCGTTACCTTTTGTTTGGTTTTGAAGTAAATTGAGGGAGGAATGAACGTACTACTATTGGGTTTGTTACTGTTGAGTCATGCTTTGAACGATCAAAACTAAATTTGGTTTTTTTAATTGGAATGATTTTGGGTTGCAGATAAAGATGTGATTTTTGCATTACTGGAGTAAAATGGAGTCTTTTTTGGGTTTCGGGGTTTCAATGAAGTGGGAGTAAATCGGTGAGAAGAATTAGGAACTTTGGAGTCTCAAGGGACTGGGAGTATCTGGGAACTGAGAAACCAGTTTAGATGTGGATTGGGAGGCCAGTTTTAATCAGTTTTGTGTATTTAGGTGTTTATGCATGTGTGTGAAGGAGTCAGATTTCTCTAATAAAATTTAGTGTTTGTTTGTGCTAAATAAGTTGCTTTTTTGGTGGTGGGATTCCTTGATCTCACAGGCATGGACATGCTAATCTTATTACTGATTGGTTGGCTCCACCTTTGCATTTTGATCACTTGGAGATGCATTTTGCCCTTTTTAATGATCTTTCTGATGGTTTGCGTCCTTGGAAGTTAGATCCCAATGTACAATATTTGATTTAGGATTTGCACCATTGCTTTTGAAACGTGTATTTTAATTGCTGGATGCAGATAGACATGTGTGAATCGACTAATGTATTTATGTTTATATAAAAAGAAATGCATTATTGAGCACTTTACTTTGAAAATCATTTTTGAGTGTAAATACGACTTTTAGTGTTTGTTAAACATTTAATCTGAAGAATGCTAAGAATGCTGATTCCTGCTTCCTCTCCTCCCATTTAATGGTTCCATATCTGCAGATTTTGAGTTTTGTGGTTAGTTGTGAAGCGCAAGCATATGTGGTTCTGCCTCACAATTCAGAATTTCTGAATGCTCCTCTACCATGAATGTCCTTTTTGTATTAAAGAGTATAGTCTTATTTTGGTCTCAGGGTCTCAGCCTGGATGAGTTGAACATCTGATTAATTACACAATGTATGGTTGTATTATGGTCAATACTTCAGAGAAAATTGCCAATTGATTCTGTAGATCTTAGAAACTGGAAACATGCCTTCATGGTGGGGGAAGACATCATCCAAAGAAGTGAAGAAGAAAGCAAGCAAGGAAAGTTTCATTGATACCTTTCAAAAATTTAAGATTCCATCTGAAAATAAACTCAATAGTAGATCAGTAGGATCTCGAAGACATTGCAGCGACAGAGTTTCTGAGTTGGGATCCCAATCCCAATTACAATCAAGATCTCCTTCACCTTCCAAACAAGTATCTAGGTGTCAAAGTTTTTCTGAAGCGCCTCATGCTCAACCTCTTCCCCTTCCTGATTTGCACCCTGCAGTTGTGGGTTGCTCAGATTCTGCAGTTAGCATACCTGCAAAACCAAGACAGGAGAAGAGCCCCAGGTCATCAATATTTCAGCCTCTCCCAAGACCAGCATGCATTCGGAGAGGCCAAATCCTTGTGACTTAGATGGAGATTTGGTTCCTGGTTCAGTTTCAAGTGAGATTTCCACAGATAGTGAAGATCCTGTTGACTCGTACTATCAAAGTCCCCAAGTAACTGATTATGACAATGGGGTTATACAAAAAATAGGATTCAGAAATGTATTATTCTTATCTTTCCCCTTATGTATGATAACGTAGATAATGTTTTTCAGCACCTGGAAGTCTGCAGTTCATTTGAAAGTGTAGGTGGTTGTATACTCTGCCGTCCTTCTGTGTTTGGTGATTCCCATTAGGCAGAGGTTCTAATGATTTGTCCCTGCAACAGAATAATTTGTAAATCCATATTATTTTTCATTAACTTTCTGTCTGAGGTCTGAGATTTTCAGATTTTGTCCCACAGCTTCCCCAACCCTCCTGAATGTACCAGAAAGGCAAAAGCATTTGATCAAGGTATGGAGATATGTTTTTAGCATCCAAAATTTTTTGTAGGGCAGAGACCAGTGATCCATTGCTAGTGTACCGAAAATTAAATGGAACAACTTAAGGTCGATGCCTGTGCTGTCTATGCTTGGTTGTGCTGGCTAAGGATAAGAAGTGTGATATCTGTTAGCAGCCAAGCTCATGTCTCTGTCCGACCACCTACTTTTCCAAGCAAGGAGAAGAGACAGAAAACAAAGAAACAGGCTGTGAAGTGTGAACCAACAAATTGTTCATCATTCGATAAATCCAGACAGAGGATAATGATAAACAGGCAACATCCCACGTCCCCCTCGGGTAGATAATAGTCAATGCCTTAGGCACGCGTATATGAGACTGTTGATCCCCGTGACTTTTCTCAATGCGCTCATTGTCATTCTGAAATTGATTGAAAGAAACAGTATTGGAAAAAAGAAAAATGATAAATGTTACACGTTGATGATGTTCAATGAAGAACAAAGCATATAAAAATAAGAGTTCTTGGTGTTTTGGATTGCAAGTCTAGAATTATTAGATGAGAA